TAGCTACAGGTACTTTCCATGTTACTGTACATCAGGTAAGTAGCTACAGGTACTTTCCATGTTACTGCAGTTTTTTATAGAAGTTTAATGTTTGTTTCTTCTTATGATATAAATTTAATATCAGTAGAAACTAAGTAAGTTATCACTTTTTTTTTTAGTTAAAAGTTTATAGGTTGTGTTGGAGGTTATTACTGAGATTTGGATAACCATAATGTAAAAGTATTGTTTTAAATCTGAAGACTGGAACAAATTTTTAAGGTATAATTGAACATACATTTATTAATTTAAACAAGATTCCTTTAGAATGAACCCTCTTATTATAAAAGTTGACATGTGATGAACTTTTAAAGAATTACATTCAAAATGTAATTAAATTACTTTATTATCATTATATATGAATTAAATTTGGCATCAAAACATAGTTGATGAACCAGATTTTAATATTATTTCAGTTTTAAGCTGTTAATTTTAAAGGAACTATTTGAAAAAAAAATTCAAACTTCTCTAGTATGAGAATTGTGACATTCTCTAGGTTTTCTTACATCTTTAATTTATTTACCACCCCTCTGAGAAGTACAGAATTTAATGTAAATTATTCATTGTAATATAGATATTACTAAGACAAAGCCTAATTTTTATAGCTTTTAACCTTATTTGTTTACGGAACCATAAAGTAGAAAAATCAGACCCACTTGCGAAGCTAACCTTTCTTTAAAAAATTGTTATTAATTCTCTCTGATGTTTTATACTATATTATTTATAACCAATAGAAAGGCAGAGTTTAATCTGTCAAATGATATATCATGTTATTGTTTTTTGTACAGTATTGTCTTTTTCAATTCCACTTTGAAAATTTCTCTTAAAGTATTCACATTAACAAGCTGAGCTAAGTTTTTAAAGGCCCTCATCGCATAGTTAGAAAGCCACATTATTATAGTTATACAACATTGGTTGCTTTGTGTGTGTTATTATTCTATGTTCTTAAGTGAATTATTTAATTAGATAGAAATTATTTAGTGTAATAGTATGGTTAGTATAAAATAAAAAGTAGGCTTAAATATAAATCACAGTTGACAGCAAAAAAACAATGACCCAGGTAAATACCATATTTCCTGTTTTTCATATGCATTCTTTCTTTATTATTATAAAAGTAACTAAAATGTAAAAGTTAGAAATTATTAGGTTAAAGGTTAAATTAGGTAAGATAATGAAAAATAATAATAATTCTTTATGAGGTATGCTTTTGACCAGCTCATCCATTATGTAATTGAATATGGTATCTTGAGCTACACAATGGCCGAGTAATTTACAACGTGTGTGGCAGGATTATTAGTTAGACATGTGTCAGAGGGCAATGAAACAATAAAATTTAAGTATAAACAGATATATATTGTTATGAGCTTTAAGCTATTTAGGTTTCCCGTTATCATTTGAAGTCATTCTTGAAAGAAAAAAGGTAATTTAGATTTGATTCGTATAATTTTATGGTGGTTATGAGGTTGGTCAAATTCACTGAATGTACTTAGAGTTAGGGTAGAGAAAATAATAGATAAAATATAAAGTTTTATTGAAAAATAATGTTTGATACCTATTTTGGAGAGTTTAAAGATTATGAAAATGAAAATTGTCAATTTTCAGGTGAAGATAAGTAATTTTATTCTTAATATGAAAATCTCTTTGCACTTGGAGCAGTTAACACTTTGACTGTATATTTACAGACAGATTTTTAATAAAAATATTTGATTAGAAAATTATTTTTGGGTATAAAAGACTTGTCATGCTTACTGTAATGTTTTTGATTTTTCAAAGTCCATTTGCTCTAAGCTTTATGTTCTTTCTAGTATTTGTTAAATAGGAATTTTGAAGAAAGGAACTGTCAGTGTGAATTATTTGTTATAAATTAAAATACAAAATTTTTCTGTATATACCAAATCAATTCAAACTTATTATGATAGAGAGAATTTTAACATTTTAGCTGATCTGTTTGGATGATTATTAAGCTTTACACATGGTATTGTAGAATTGATAAAATGTCCTGGATGACAAGGTGTGAAAAATATTACAAATAAGTGTTTTTTGTCCTTTGAAGTAAATGGTTAACTTGCTATGTTTTATGGTTTAAAGATTACTCTCAAGATGTTTTTTTAATTATTGTTATCAATCTCAGATAAAAAAAAAGAATAATAATTACTACATTTAATGTATGCTAAGTCCTGGATTATTGTGTTAAGCTTTAGCTTAGAGAATTATAATACCTAACTTGATTGTAATGACACTGGAACAGAAGGAAGCATGATGTAATGGGTCCCCACAACTTGTACATGCTGCTGTCTGAGAGGATGATGTTACACACCAACCACATCACATTAGCAACTTACAACGTCCTCTTTGAGGTAGGAATTTATTGGTTATAAATTAAAATACAATTTTTTTTGTATATACCAAATCAATTCAAACTTATCATGATAGTGAGAATTTAAAAATTTTTAGGAATTTAAATAATATGTACAAGATAGTTTTTAGCATAAAATGATTATCAAAAACATGTATGTGGATATAATGATTATTACTTTAGATATATATATAATTTCTTTAAAGTTTATAACCCTGTTGTTACCACTTTTTTGTAACATTTTGAAAGAGTGAACACCTTTAAAAATGACATTTTCAGTCAGAGGAAACTGTCATCATAGTTTTGTAAGTTTTGATAGCTGTTTTTTGTTAGTTACTGAAGGTACTAATATTTGAGGCCAATATTCATATTAGTTTCCAGTTGGAATCCATGTGAGTAATTGAATTTGATTCAGATTTGTGTGTTTGAAGTTTTTGGAAGACATATTCTTGCAGTAATGATGTGTATAACTTAGTACAACTTATTTAGTGAAAGTTGAATTTTTTTGTTTAATTTATCCTTAGAAATAGGTCAACTCAACTGTCATTTTATCGTCCATGCAATAAACAATAATATTTCATTCTACTTGCTATAAAGAATTTTTAGAAACTTAAGATAAGCTTTTGATCATTTCAGTGGAAAGATTACTTGATCTGTGTTGAAGTTATCAGCTGGAAGTATTTTGTGACAGCTGTTTACCATGTTCTGTACGCCAAGCCAAAATTTTGAAATGACCATTCTTACATCTTAGTACACAACAAGACAAACTTTCACAGTGCCCCTCTTCAAATGTAATATAGAACAGTCTAAACTTTCACAGTGCCACTCATGAAATGTAATATAGAACAGTCCAAACTTTCACAGTGCCACTCGTCAAATGTAATATAGAACAGTCTAAACTTTCACACTGCTACTCATCAAATGTAATATAGAACAGTCCAAACTTTCACAGTGCTGCACTTCAAATGTAATATAGAACAGTCCAAACTTTCACAGTGCCACTTGTCAAACGTAATATAGAACAGTCCAAACTTTCAGTGCCACTCATCAAATATAATAGAGAACAGTCCAAACTTTTACAGTGCCACTCATCAAATATAATATAGAACAGTCCAAACTTTAACAGTGCCACTCGTCAAACGTAATATAGAACAATTGGACTTTCATATTTATTATGATATATTTAAAGGTTCTTTCAGCCAATAAGTCCATAAGTTTCAGGAACAGTTATATATTAATGTTAAAAGTCAGTGTTGAAATGAAAAATGTGACACATCAGTGTAGATACTTGAGTTAGAGGGTGGGATATGAAATTTTTTACATGATAAAAAAAACAATTTTACATACCTGTGTATATTAAAAATAACATTCATGTGGTTCATTCAAGTTGTAAACAACAATTTTTCAGATATTAACAGAGCATATATCAAGTCAGCTACTGTATACCAAGCATTCAGAGCCAGAGTCTAATTACAAATTGGAAAATCCTAGTAAGTGATTGACTTTTGGTTAAACTAAGTATGAATGTGAGTATAGTTATAGTACTTTTCTATAATAGTTGTATATTAATATTTGGTTTTACTTGTGTTTATTGAGAATTTAACCTTGTTATCACATTCCCTTTAACCCTTTAACAAGTTTTTAGTGTCTTGCATTCAAAATTTTATTAAATACTTCTCGTTTATGTTATACCAATGAGAATTGCATAAAATCTTAACTAATAATCCATAATTTAATAATATATAAATTTTAAGATTTTAATTCTACAAAGCAATATTGAAATAAATTCTGAATTTCCCATAGTGTGACACACGTGACACATTTTCTTTAGGCATCTTGTCTCCTCTATTTGATCCATCACCCCTTGGAAAAGTACGAAATTAAACGTAAATTACTCTCTATAAAATCTCATTGCTCCAACAAACCATATTTTTAATAGTCTTCAATTTTGTTTGGTTACAGAGTTATCAAATAGAAAATCAAACCCCTCCACACCCATCTGTCACATCCTCTGTTTTAGGATTTGTTAATAGTTTTCTCTTACGTTTAATTATATATTACCAATAACTTGTGATAAGGTAGCAGACTCACTAGAGACAGGTATCATCTTGTGATAAGGTAGCAGACTCAGTAGAGACAGGTATCATGTTGTGATAAGGTAGCAGACTCAGTAGAGACAGGTATCATGTTGTGATAGGGTAGCAGACTCAGTAGAGACAGGTATCTTCTTGTGATAAGGTAGCAGACTCAGTGGAGACAGGTATCATGTTGTGATAAGGAACAGATTCAGTAGAGACAGGTATCATCTTGTCATAAGGTAGCAGACTCAGTAGAGATGAGTATCATCTTGTGATAAGGTAGCAGACTCAGTAGAGACAGGTATCACGTTGTGATAACGTAGCAGACTCAGTAGAGACAGGTATCACGTTGTGATAATGTAGCAGACTCAGTAGAGACAGTATCATAAGGTAGCAGACTTGATTTACTGTAAATAAGATTTCTTTCAAGTATGAGATGTTTTTAATTGTTTTCTATGCAGGTATAAGAAAAGGTGGAACTAAAGACTTATGATTTATTTTTGTTTTTCCAGTGATCCTGAAGGTTGTAGCTACACTGATTAGACAGTCCAAACCTTGTGATGAGCTTACTGAAGTGAAAAAACTCTTCCTGTCTGACATGACCATATTGTGTAACAATAATAAAGACAACCGGAGGTTTGTGTCTTCATATATGATTTCATATTGTGTAACAATAATAAAGACAACCGTAGGTTTGTGTCTTCATATATGATTTCATATTCTGTAACAATAATAAAGACAACCGTAGGTTTGTGTCTTCATATATGATTTCATATTGTGTAACAATAATAAAGACAACTGTAGATCTGTGTCTTCGTACATGATTTCATATTGTAACAATAAGAAAGACAACCATAGGTTTGTGTCTTCGTATATGATTTCATATTGTGTAACAATAAAAAAGACAACCGTAGGTTTGTGTCTTCGTATATGATTTCATATTGTGTAACAATAAAAAAGACAACCGTAGGTTTGTGTCTTTGTATATTATTTCATATTGTGTAACAATAATAAAGACAACTGTAGGTTTGTGTCTTCATATATGATTTCATATTGTAACAATAAGAAAGACAACCGTAGGTTTGTGTCTTCATATATGATTTCATATTGTGTAACAATAATAAAGACAACCAGAGGTTTGTGTCTTCATATATAATTTCATATTGTATCAATAATAAAGACAACCGTAGGTTTATGTCCTCGTATGTGATTGTGTAATCAATAGCTGTATTAGTTTTTATTTCTGATTATTAATTTTGGTTGTATAACACATACTGTATTTTTACTTTGTGGTAAACTCTCTGTGGAAGGTGACTTTCTTTACGGACATTTTTTGGAAGGGAAAGAAACGTGTTTTAGGTTTTCAAGATTATTTTTGTAATTTTTTTTACAACTGTTAAAGACAAGATAAAAGTAGAACAGACAAACTTCTTCACTGGCTTTTTCAAAAAATCTTTAACAAAAGATCTTCTAAGAAGTGATTGTAAAAAGTCGTGTTTAAGAATTTATGAATGTTTTGTTTATAGAACTATACTCCAAATGTCAGTGTGGCAGGAATGGCTTGTTGCTATGGCTTACATCTATCCCCAGAACTCTGAAGAACAGCGAATATCAGACATGGTCTACTCTTTGTTTCGCATGCTTCTTCACCATGCCGTCAAATTGGAGTATGGTGGTTGGAGAGTATGGGTTGACACCTTAGCAATTGTACATTCAAAGGTATTGCTCACTCATAAAGTGAATTTTTTGTTTTTCTAGTGAAATTGTAATGATAAACTGTATTGTTTTTGAACGTTGTGTTGATTCTTGTGGTATCTGTCAGTCATATTTTCTGAATTAGTAATTGATCAAATTGTTTGTGTTATCTAACATTAAATTGATAACTCGTATGATAAAAGCCTTGTTACTGTGTATTCTGGCTTCCTTGCATGTCAGTTTACAAAATCTTGATAATGAAGAAAACATTTAGGAAAGATGAAACAGTTAGAGATGTTAGAAGTAGAAGTGGTGAAGGATTCCTTTGGTTACAGAGTTCATTTTATAGTCATGACCATTTGTGCCACGTCACAATGGACAGCTGTGATGAGTAGAGGCCAAGTTGCACATGGTTCTTCTTCGTAATTTTTTGACCATTTGTGCCACGTCACAATGGACACACGTCACAATGGACAGCTGTGATGAGTAGAGGCCAAGTTGCACATGGTTCTTCTTCGTAATTTGTTTTATTTATCACCAATCAATTGCTTAGATATGAGATTGGCTGTAGTTAATAAATGCATGGACAAGGTAGATGGATTGGGTGTCACTAATTAGTTCTATTTTGTGTTCGATTTTTCTCCTGGAAATCTAAATGTCCAAAATGTTTTTGGGTCAGTAAGATGATTAGAATCATCCTGTACCATTGTCTGTCACCCTTGCCATTTCTCTTGTGCCTGAATTCCCAAGTTGTGTTAAAATTAGAATGTATGAAATAGTTGATTCATCTACAAAATGTCTTGAGAATGCTCTTTTTTTTAAGGATAGACAATACACGTGAAGCTCGATGAAGTACATGTCAGAGAAATATCAATACTGGGAAACATACAGGAAGTTATTTACTTAAACTCTTTTATGTTTAGTTGTTTCTAAAATCAAAATGAATAATAAACTAAATTAGTACAGCCAGTGATGGTAGTAGAAATCTCTGAATTTTCCAGCAGAGCAGTACTGTTGTACTGTACTTGAACAAAGTTAATGGTTAAGCCAACAATAACGTTAATTGAGTTAACAGTACTTGGACAATGTTAACGGTAAAGCCAACAATAATATTGATTGAGTTAACAGTACTTGGACAATGTTAATGGTTAAGCCAACAATAATGTTAATTGAGTTAACAGTACTTAGACAATGTTAACGGTAAAGCCAACAATAATATTGATTGAGTTAACAGTACTTGGACAATGTTAACAGTAAAGCCAACAATAATGTTAATTGAGTTAACAGTACTTGGACAATGTTAACGGTAAAGCCAACAATAATATCAAGTGACTTAACGGTACTTGGACAAAGTTAATGGTAAATCCAGCAGTAATATCATTTGAGTTAATCCTATCACGATGGATCACGTGTGAAAGGCCATGTCATTGTGTTTGTTGACTTGCATTCAAACTTTTATTGAACTACTATTTTATGTCAATAAGTTTGGTATCAAACTGTAGATTATAGCTCAAATTTTAGTATTATATGCTAGTTAATTTCTTAGTTTAAAAGTAAATATTAAAAAACACAACTAAACATCAATTTTTGTGTGTCACATGGTATGTTGAATGCAGCACTGGTTCAGATTAGATGTTTGTGATGACAAAATACTAAGTCTGTAGTTTTGTATGAATTAGTAACACAAACTACCGATATTGACAAGCTTGAATATAAAATAAGAATGTTTCATTTTTTCTATTTGCTAAGATATTGCTCATGTACTGAATCAAACATAGTGGCCCCCCTTGGCCACCTCTTTCCCTCTTTAGAAATGCTCCCTTGTATACACTTCTATATATATGACATGAATAATCAATCAAAAGCTCAGAATGTTCCCCTAGTTGCTTTCTTAGCCATTTTCGTGTGTTAGGACGCCATCTTGTTCTTTTGTAACAAGATTCCAAAGAGGTAGGTTGTGTTTTTAGTCTGCTCGAAATTTAATGTTTTTTTAGACCATAATACACCTTAGTTAATAAACTTGATGAATTATAGTGGAATTATTTGGTATCGATATAGTAATTTATGATTTTTGGTTATTTAAAATGTTTATATTAAAACCTAAAAAAATTATCTTTTACATTCTCCATGTGGGAAATTTCATAAGGTTTAACAACCTATGACAAGCAGCAAACAAGTACAAAGGTTGTAACTAAAAGGGATAATTGTTTGCTTTTTTTTTGAAGAACAATAGTTTTTTCAGTTATAACATGAAAATCGATATTTTTAGAAACAAATCTATAATAAAAATACTTCATTAAAAAATCTGATTTTTTTGTGTCCAAAAGACTTGTAATGTTTACTAAAAGTCTACCAAATTTTGTGAAGATACACATGCTGCATTAAAAGTGATAGTATAAATACTTAACTTGTATATTATACTGAGCCCATCACGAAAGGTTTAACAATACTTGGACAAAGTTAATGGTTTAGCCAACAAGTACATCAATTGAGGAAACAGAACAAAGTTAACAGTTAAATCGCTAGCATTGTTAAATATTGATATAGCACTTGAATAAAGGCAACATTTATACCAGCACAGAAAAATTAGTGAAAAAATATTAATTAGTACCTGCCCATACCACTAGTTTATAGTGTACAATATGAATAATTGCAATGTTTAATTTATTCTAGGATCTTTTATTGAATGTTAAAAATCAGGTTGCTGAATGTTCTGGATTGTGTTGAAATTGTCTTTTATTGAATAGGTAGTCTTGAATGGAGGGATGAAGTATACCACCATACATAAAAACTTATCCATTAGTTTGATCAGTAATTTAAATAACTTATTTTAACATCCCCATTGTTTGTAAGTATTAGAGCTATTGAGATACTTTGAACTTACTAAGTATTCCTTCTGATGTTGAAGTATGATCTCATTTTGGTTGAAAATTTCTTTCACAGGTTGCTTTTGAAGACTTCAAATCCCAGTTTTCACAGATGTATGAACAGTATGAACAAAGAAAAACCGATGACTTAACTGATCCAGCCCTCCGAAGACAAAAACCAATTAGCACTATCTCTGGTGGTGACACTTGCCTCCGAACCTATGTTCCAGTTTCTCCAAGAGTGGAACTCAAAGAAATAGAAGATTCAAATATAACTGGCAATGTTTGTGTTACTTCTCATCTGGATGAAAATATCAGTGGATATAAAGTTACAGATACGTATGTAGAAGATGTAACTTGTAGAATTACCGGAAGTGTTTCATTAAATCCTGAATTCTCTGAAGACGATGTAAAGTGTAAGAGTATAAGCAACATTACAGAAGTTCACTGCCCAAACACAAATGAAGTGAATCCAAGTACTCGAGTGTATCTTTCTCCAGATAAACAAGAGAACAGTGACACTTTGCACGAGACACTAGATGAAACTAGAGAATATGAACATATGAAAGTACAACCAGAAATCGGCCCAAGTGATACAATAATCAAAGGAAAAACCCCTCTTTCTTTAGAAATTGAAAATAATACATATTCTCATTCTGAAGAAGTAAACAAAGTAAATAACCAGGAAAACGTGGAGACTAGAGTTATTGAAAATCACATAAATGGGACAGGACATGATCTAAGTACAAGTCCTTTAGCTTCACAGACACTTCAGAATGTCCAGAGCTCTGATATTTCGAATAATAGTTTACAAAAATTTAGTGATGAAGAAGACAATTATCTTAAAACAAAATCTAAAGGATCTGAAGGTGCAGAATTGATTGAAACCATAAGTTGTTGTCAAGACGATGAAATGAAAAAGACTACAGAAAGAGGAAATACAATTGCCGTACCTACTTCATCTGAGTTTCAAAGAAATCAACTAAAGAACTTTGATAAATCAAATTCAGAAACTTGTACAGTTTCTCAGCTAAATGATAGACAGGAAGAGTCATTAAGTAACATTGCTGATCATTTAGAACTATCAAGTGTACACAATGGAACAAAAGGTACCATGGAAGAAGAATCACCTAAATATTATAACAAACCAAACAATAATTCTGGTTTTTGTGATGAAGAGATAATGATGGAAAAAGAACATAGTGATAAAGGAAATTTTTTAGATGTTATTATAGATAACAGCTCAACAAACAATATAACATCTGACGTCACCCACTGTGATGCTGAAATGAATGAAGATAAACATTTTATCAAAAGTGTACAAGGTTCTCAAGATGTTATAACACATCTAGAAAAACATTCGAAAGATGAACCAATTTTGCAAGATGTATATTCAGAAAACCAGACTGTTCCTCTTCAGGAAACTCCTCTGTACACAACAGCTTCTGTAAGCTTAGGTTCAGTGATCGAGATTCAAGAAGATTCTGAAATACATTCAGAAAAAGATTTATCACATCAAACAATTTCCCAAGATAAAGAAAGCAAAGAAAAAATGATTTTATATGACCAAGAATCAAAAGTGATATCCTCAGAAGAAGATTCAACACCTAAAATAGTTTCCCAAGTTAAAGAAAGGAAAGACGAAGTGATTTTAGGCAACCAAGAACCAAAAGTGGTATCTTCAGAAAAAGATTCATCACATGAAGCAGTTTTGCAAGATAAAGAAAGTGAAGAAAAAGTTATTTTATATGACCAAGAATCAAAAGTGGTATCCTCAGAAGAATATTCAACACACCAGAAAGTTTCTCAAGATAAAGAAAGTGAAGAGACAGTGGTTATATATGACCAAGAATCAAAAGTGGTATCCTCAGAAGAAAATCTGACAAGCAAATCAGTTATTGATAGAATCTCTGAAAGAAAAATTGGGTCTCTAGAGGAAACACTTGAGAACAAAGCAGTATCTCTTGAAATACCAGTAGCAGACAAAATAACTTTATTTCACAAACAAACTGAGAATGGTTTAGAAAAAAAGTTGGCTTCTTCTGAACATGAACCAGGGGACAAAACAACTTTTCCTGAAAAAACTGTTGAAGATAACCAATTACATTTAGAGAAAGATTCTGAAGTTAAGCTTGTATTTAAAGAGGAAGGTACAGAAGATAAAATAGTCTTTCTAGAGAAACATCTGGATGATAAACCAGTTTATCCAAAAACAGATTCAGAAGATAAATCAGTTTCTTCAGAAAAACATCTGGATGATAAACCAGTTTATCCAAAAACAGATTCAGAAGATAAATCAGTTTCTTCAGAAAAACATCTGGATGATAAACCAGTTTATCCAAAAACAGATTCAGAAGACAAATCAGTTTCTTCTGGAATCTGTTTTTGGATAAACTGGTTTATCATCCAGATGTTCTATTTTTGGATAAACTGGTTTATCATCCAGATGTTCTCCAGAAGAAACTGATTTGTCTTCTGAATCTGTTTTTGGATAAACCGGTTTATCATCCAAATGTTTTTCTGAAGAAACTGATTTATCTTCTGAATCTGTTTTTGGATAAACTGGTTTATCATCCAGATGTTCTCCAGAAGTAACTGATTTGTCTTCTGAATAAACCAGTTTATCCAAAAACAGATTCAGAAGTCAAAACAGTTTCTTTAGAGAAACATCTGGATGATAAACCAGTTTATCCAAAAACAGATTCAGAAGACAAGTCAGTTTCTTTGAAGGAAGATGTAAAAGGTTATCCAGTTTCTCTGGAAATAGCTTCAGGAAACAGTCCAGATTTTCCAGAAGAAGGTTCAGAGGACAAACCTGTATCACCAGGAAAAGATTCAGAAGATAGAGATGTTTCTGCAGAGTATGACTCGGAGATTAAATCAATGTCTCAAAAGAAAGATGAAAAACCACATTTAGAAATGTATTCAAAAAACAACAAAGAAGATACCTCAATTTCTTTTGAGAAACAAAATGAGGAGAACATGCTCAAGGCTCAAGAAAGTCAAGAAGTTTCTTTAGGAGGAAAACCACTTTCTCATGTGATTGAATCAAGCAACCAACCAATTACATCAGAAATAGCACTAGAATACAAATCTGTGTCTGAAGAAAAATACATAGAACACATACAAGTGTCTCCAAAGAATTATCCACAACAAAAAGTAGCACTTCAAAATGAAAATATAGAAGAAATATCAGATACTAAGACAAAAATCTCAGAGAAAAATTTAAAACACAAACCAGTTTTAATAAAGAAAGATTCAGAAATTGAAGGATTATCTTATGAGAAAGAATCCAAAAATAGACCAATTCCTCCAGATCATGATGTAAAAGAGGAAGCACTTTCTGAAGTTAAAGATTCAGTAGAGAAATCATTTTTTGAAGAAAAAGATTCAAAAGATGCACTATTATTTCCACAAGGTCCAAAATATAAATCAGTTTGTGAAGAAATGGATGCAGAAGATGCATTGAAAGATACTGCAGAGAACTCAGTTTCCGAAGGAAAAGATTCAGAAGATGTACTATTCCTTCCACAAGATCCAAAATACAAATCATTTTCAGAAGAAAAATTTGCATGTAAAGAAGAAGATTCGTTGCTTCTTTCACAGAAAGCTCAAAGCAATAAAGAAGTTCTTGGAGAAAGAGATGCAAAAAGTGTACCATTAAGCCAAGGCAAAGATGTAGAAGTTGCATTTCCACCAGATAAAAGTCCAATTTATGAAAAAAAGTGTGAAGAACATGTCTCTTCAGAGGAAAATGTGGATCCAGATGCATTAGAGAAATTACTGGTAGACAAACCACTCTTACTAAAAAATAACCCAGAAAATAAACTGCTTTCAGATGATGAAAAGCCAGAAGATGGTATAATAAGAAATGAAAGATGCCCATATGAACATACCAATCAAGAAATGAAAGATGATTATTCAACAATCAGTAGAAAGTTCAACTCACTAGAGGCTCCATCTGATGAGCACATTAATGAATTAGAGCTTATTTCGGATGTTAAAGTCGTGGAAAATAACAAGTTAAATGAAGCTCAAACAGTGGTGAAAGAAGAAGACCAGGACAATCTAACTTGTTTCTTTAATGGTGAAATTACCCATGAAGCATTAGACAAGCAGCACAGGTTAATTGAGGAAAACACATCAGAGACTAAAGGTGTGAGTGATAATGTAGATGATCCAGATATTCTGAACAACCCAGAAGGCTCCAAGTCTGAAGATACAGTAAGCACTATTGAAGGGCAATTAAAAAAGGAGGGAATACAACTTGCAGATTCAAGTTCAAAGGTTGGCCATGTTTCTCATAATAAAAATGTAGTTTTAAGTGAAACGGGACCTGAGACAGCAGTAGCCCAGGTGGTTGATAATCAACAACAAGATGTAAAACAGCCAGAGACACTGTTATCAGATAGTGACATTCAGACCATACACATACCAACTGAGCCTGATATTGGTATAACTCGTCGACCTAGGAGTGCTTCTGCTACTCGCAAGCCTAACTTTCATCAAGATGTACAGAGGCCCAAGTCTGCAAGTATTTCCCACACCAGGGAACGAAGCAGCTCAGGTAGCTCAGGAAGACAGATTTTTAATGATGGACCCTCTAGACCACCATTTCGTATTCCAGAATTCCGTTGGTCATCAATTCATCAGAGGCTTTTATCTGATTTATTGTTTTCTTTAGAGACAGACATCCAAGTTTGGAGAAGGTAGGTTATTGTTGTAACATAGGTCTTACAATGAACAACTCAGACTGGCTCTTTATCTTAAATATAGACTACTAATAGTACTTTGTCAGGCTCACAAAATCATGATTTATTGCTAATTTGTCAAATGTATCAGTTATTGATACTAGATAGACTAGTAATTTCAGTGAAGTAAATTTAAACGTTTTTCACAGTACATGTTAAATGTTGTTGTGGAACGTACTGTGCTTTCTGGATTGTAGTGTAACATGGTACATGTTAAATGTTGTGGAACGTACTGTGCTTTCTGGATTGTAGTGTAACATGGTACATGTTAAATGTTGTTGTGGAACGTACTGTGCTTTCTGGATTGTAGTGTAACATGGTACATGTTAAATGTTGTTGTGGAACTTACTGTGCTTTTTGGATTGTAGTGTAACATGGTACATGTTAAATGTTGTTGTAGAACGTACTGTGCATTCTGGATTGTAGTGTAACATGGTACATGTTAAATGTTGTTGTGGAACGTACTGTGCTTTCTGGATCGTAGTGTAACATGTTACAGGTTAAATATAGTTGTGGAACTTACTGTGCTTTCTAGATCATAATGTAGCATGTTACAGGTTAAATGTATTTGCTATCTTTTCGTTTTTGAAACCTTAGGATTCTATGATGAACTGAGGATGTTTAACTTGAAAAAATTCTTATGTGATTATGGTCTAAACTTTAAAATATTTAGATGAAGGTTGAAAGCTTAATATATATTTCAGAAATTTTTGTCAGCATTATTTTACATACACTGTATATTAATTATGGAGATTTTGACTGCACAATTTGAATTGTTTTAATTGTAACTAATTATAACAACTAGACACTGTTATTGTTGTGTTGTATGTGGTTTTCTAAACATATCAGTATTAAGATAGTCTTTTTCTTGTATTTGTTCAAACTGAAGTACTGAAAGTAGTATTTGAACATAATAGATAACCATCTACACAGTAATGAGAAAGATGACTGAAGGCTAAGCTGTTGGAAGTTTTACATTTTATTTAAGACATAATTAATATTCTTCTTAATTTCTTACAGATGTTCTAATTAGTTTTAAGTTACTTTGAGCATACAACAGTCAATTTGGATCAACTTACTTAGATTGTGCAATTTTATATTAAATTAAAAGTACTAAAGTAGAGTTACGTTTATGTTGCTGATTGACAGTAGCCCTAGACCTGTTCTACAGTGTCAAGCAGGTACATTAAACTCAAAGCACTAAAGTAGGGGTATGTTTCTTTGCTGATTGACAGTAGACATAGGCCTATTCTATAGTGTCAAGCATATCATTAAATTAAAATGACTAAAGTAGGGGTATGTTTCTTTGCTGATTGACAGTAGACATAGGCCTATTCTTTAGTGTCAAGCATATTGTTACGCCTCCAGTCGTTAATTGATTTTCCGTAACTTCATTCCAACGAAACTTTAGCGACACAAGTCCTTACTTAATAAAACTGGTGAA